CATTTTATTGAGATAATTTTTTGCAACAGAGCAAAATCTCAGATATATCAGTTTTTGGTCAAACATTGGATGGATAAAAACCTAGCTAATTTCTTGCCAACGTGCTAACGTTTGCATTTCTATTCTACAAAATGGCGACCAATGAAAATTTGATTGCTGTAATGTGTAAAGTTGGATTTCTTTTTATTTAATGATCACGGAAATTTGTCAATTATGACTTTAAAAGAAGAGTGCGTGGGGTGTGTAAACTTGGAATTTAGAGCTGAAAGTCTTGGATTAAATTACGAAAATCCCAAGGCGTTTGTACAATCGCAGGTTTGCAACATTTTACACTTTCTGTTAAACACTCACAAAATGTATACAGAAGCCTTTTTAGCATATGTTCTTCTTTTGATTAAGTTGCATTATGGTTACATGATACACGTTAAATATATTTTCAATAAAGCAAAAAGATATATTCAATAGCAACGGCATTTTACTTCGTATTAAGGTGATTCTGCTTTGTCAGCCATGTTTGTTTTCACTATGTGGGTCCAAAGTGAAAGTAGGCCAAAATTCATATAACAACAAAGCTCAGATTGTTATATGATGAGCCATTTGCAAGTACACTTCCAGTTCTATGTTTTAAAGACTATTTTAAACAAAAATAAAAATGATAACAATAAGAAAAATTACCTTGAATGTGCTACATTTCTGAAGACCAAAAACATTCTGTTGCAAAGATTTATGCACATTTCATGAATGGCAAAATCCTTTTTAAAGTCTGTTTTAGTGCCTACAAAAGCTACTTTTTGTAGAAAATACAAAAAACTTTAAATAATATAAACCTTAGGAAAGTAGTTTATCTGACCTTGAAAAAACATGGCCACCATGACATGTGTAAAAAAGTAGTACCATGAAAATAAACATCATTTATCTATCTCTTGTGTACATGGCAAACAGACACACTTCACTGTTACACATAAAAAAGGTTGCATTTTAAAGTTTTATTGTGTTTTCATTTTAATTGTAGTTCATAAGGCTATAAATGATGATTGTTTTCTTGCACTACTTTTTTACAAAAAATAATGGAGGCCATGTGCTTAGAAGGACATGAGATATGGATTTATTTGGAGTTAAGTTTTGAAAGATTTTTGTATTTGCTGCAAAAAATAGCTTTTGTAGGCACTAAAACAGACTTAAAAAAGGATTTTGCCATTCATGAAATGTGCATAAAACTTTGCAACAGAATGTTTTTGGTCTTCAGAAATGTAGCACATTCAAGGTAATTTTTCTTATTGTTATCATTTTTATTTTTGTTTAAAATAGTCTTTAAAACATAGAACTGGAAGTGTACTTGCAAATAGTTCATCATTTTAAAATAAGAACTTTGTTGTTATATGAATTTTGGCCTACTTTCACTTTGGACAGACTTTGTGAAAACAAACATGGCTGACAAAGCAGAATCACCTTAAGCTGTGAAGACATACATTCTTTTAAATCAGATAATATATAAGTAATAGTATGTGATCATTTGCGGTATATAAAATATATATACGAGTATATATATTATATGTTATTTTGGTTTTGGAGTGATATATGTGGATATATTACCTGCTAAGATTTTATATCACCCGAGCCCCGTTATGCGAGGGTGATATTTTATCTTGGCAGGTAATATATCCTCATATATCACTCCAAAACCAAAATAATAATTTTATTACCCATCCCCTACGAGTTTAGACGATTTTTTAAAAAAATCATTGATGTTTCAAGTGAAATGTCGAAATAAGATTTCCTTTAGGGTACCTCTTCATCACAACATGACGTCACATAAATACATGACGTATTTTTCCCGTACCTAACGAATGTAAACAAGAGAAAAGGAGTAGTCTATTGAACGCACTTTTTTGTAATTAATATCAAGCTTTCACAAGGTCATATTTGTTTTCAATACTGATGGGAATATGTATCATTACTCTACTTTGGTAAATATTTATCATTTGACAGTTAAAAAGTGCTTGTAAATCAGAATTTACACCGCGTAAAATCGAACCGTACGCGCATCACCTCAGCGCATGTTGTTTACAACGTTGGGTACCCAACGGGGAAATTTAGTGTGTATATTACCCGTCTGGCTCGGTTATATCAATTTCTTTCGGGTGATCAATTTCCAATCAAAAAGGCGGAAAAAATCTGGAAGGGTAATAAATATATATATATCCAGATTATGATTGAACAACTAGACAGTTTTAGAGTTAGTCCTACATTTTACAGACATAAGTATCCTCCCCTTTTATTGTGTTTACCGTAGATACATCATATATCTGTCAATTCTTAGATTACATCATAATCTCTTTAGGATATAAATGAACACATGGAATAAAAAATAAAGCAAGCTAATTTTTCTGTCAACAAAACGATAGACAATAGATATCCTTTTCTTCCACAATTTGCTCTAATTAAGATTTCACCTATCGGCTTACATATAAGAAATACAAATTTAAAAAAAAATAAAAAAAAAGAAAGAAAAGATGTTAAAGTTCTGCTTAACATGTACATACATTTATATGTTCATTTACATGAAAATATCTTTGTATAAAAGGACAAAGAATTTCATTGATCGAGTAGCCTGTTTTATGTCAACAGCTTTATAAATGTCCCCTCTGATCGTTGACACTACATAATGTTAAAGTACGGTTATTTGAAAAACATTAATTAATTAACGCCAATATTGATACAAATGAGATAAAGTAGTGCCGTTTAATAGAAAAGTGATTAATTTATCAAGCATTGACCTGACCAACAATGGTATTTCTGGTCATCATTTAATTTCTTGCTAATGACATGACATTTACCTCTGATCTATAGAGGTAAATCTTGGTAAATCTATCTATCTACCTATTAATTATAATCACAGACATTTGAAGACGCTGGACTTATTCGCGTATATTTAATCAAATACTGTGCATTTACAGTTAAGAATAGACTTATAGGGCATGATATAAAGTTCTTTATTTCATTAATTTTTACTGTCAGATGAAACAATTAATGATATATCTATATCATGTCTAATATTTTTTTATTTAATGTTTCAAAATAATTGATAAAACATTTGCTTTTTACAAAGTCTCAAGAAAACACATTTCCTAAATCTTAAGTGTTTATGTAACAGACAATATGCCCGAGTCACTCTGCATTAACGTAAAAGCTAAATCTTCAAATAAGTGACAGTTCGACTCCATAATCTGGATGTTGAACAGCGTAACAGCCAGTCAGTTGCTGTGAAAGTGCCAGTTCCTCTAGCAAATCGTGTCTGACATGTTAGAAATCAATATGTGTATTTCTTACTTTTCTTATAGTGCTTGTTTAAACGACAGACATTATTATACTATATATAATCTATCGTCACGTATGTATCAGAATATATTTAATGCAGGAAACAATATGTGCAGATACCCTTTACAATTCTTCATCAAAATGCCACTATTTTCTACTTTAATCAATATTCCAATCCGATTTCTTTGAAAAGAGCAATGTTAAAATGTATAAAGCTATATATTTGCTGTGTGTGGATTCTAAAATTATTGTTTATATTGTGATTATAATGTCTACAGAATACATAGAATGAAAGAAATTTGTCAGTACATTAAATAGAAAGCGAATGGGACATGCGTGAAATCGTCGCTAAACTTACTATAAATAGCAACGGAATATTTTGTTCCGTCTGTGTACATACAATATTCATGTATATTAAATCATCTAAACATTCTCTATTACAAATCTTGCAAGAAACAACTCATTTTTACTGTTTTTAGATTTTGGTAGAATATTTCATCAGATATAACTTAATACGAGCAACACTTTAAGGTGACATTATGCTCATTGTAATGTATTTCAAAAGATTGACTATTATAATTGTCATTGAACAATAATTGAATGTGCAAATTGTTCATGATGAAATATAAAAACTACTCTAATTATTAAAGACTGCCCCACTTTCATCTCTTCTGGGAATGTGATTTTTCAAAGAATGTTTGGACACATGTAATTCAAAAAAGCATAATTATTCATATCAACCAATACCTATTTTGTTAAGAAATTTGTTCAATGATATAAAATACCAATTTGAATACAAGTGTAGAAATAAAGACGATTCTGTGACAGAATTTTTAAAATATTTGTAATTTGTATGAATTTTAGATTTAATTCATAAAGAGTTAACTCGCTTTTCATCCTTGTCACCTTTCGTTTTTCGGACAAGTAAATGATACCTTTGCGAATTCTTATATTTTTCACATTATCTGTACTGCTTCTTATTTTGTAAGAAATCAAATATATTCTTGTATTATTGTAAAAAAAGAAAAGAAAAAAAGAATGGTAAATAGAGTCAAGATTCAAGTGATAGTTGGCATGTTATGTGCTATTAATGACTGATTTTGCAGTATCTATCAACGTACGTATTTCTACTGTGTGACTTATGGCAAGTTCTTAAAGAAATGATTATACAATGTAATATATTTATCTTTCACGCCTTTTATGACGAGATTGCTTCAATGAGCTTTTTAAATTCAGTCAGTGTTTGTATATTTTCCTCTTCATGATCAATATGCTCAGTATTTTACATGATAGTCGAGTGGTCTGTATTGAATAACATCACATAACTGGTTAACTATAGAGACATATGGATCAGTTTAAAATGTTTGTAAATTGACATTTATTATAAGTATAAAAAGACAAATTGAATACTCAATATGTTGCTATTACGCTTCAAACTCTCAAACGTACCATTGAAATTTACATCAGCGAAATAGAAAAAAATGAAAGAAAAAAAAAGACTGCCCCACTCGTTTTATAACATGCCTTGAATGATACTGATCAATTCTGTACGTTATATTTATAGAAATTTTCAGATTTCCGTTGATCACATTGGTTATTGATTAGTTTTGCATAGTGAAATATTAATTTGAACATAATTATGGCAAAATGAAAAGTTAAAATTTTATTTTCTCTATTTTCAGTGGCCCGTCAGTCAAAAGGTGTACGTCATTTACCGGATCTTTGTCGCACTGGCTTTCATCGTATGGTTCGCAGCAGATTGTATTTATGAGACTCGAACCTTCTTTAAAGAACATACATATACTTACTTGATATACGCAACCAATTGGAGCTTCCTACTGTTGACCTTGACGGCTCTTTATAAAGCCACATGCGCAATTTATTATTCTATGCGATCGGGGGAATGTCTAGGTAAGTTAAATAAAACAAAGAAATGTTTAAACATTGCCGTTATCTACCATTTAGGTCAGTTAAGAAAAATAAAATCCGGAAAACTGGTGAGCCCTCGGAATCAATGTAAACAACAATATTATATGAAATATGCAGACTCGGTTGACTGAGTTTGTTTATAAGAGACAATGTTAAACTGCAGCATATCTCACCCATCCTAGTACCGACTTTAGCGGTACTCAGTCTTCAACGCGAATATGCCGGAAGCCAGTGGAGTAGTAATTAAAATGCCTACAATCAAACAAACGATTAATAATGGTTTGATAAGGTAGATGTTATTACCGTAATACTTTGTCATTTACTGTATTTCCAGACAACAGTTTCGACCGCTATAGAAATGAAAATACTCGGTAAAATATACATTGATATTAATTAATCAGGATAAATATGAGAATGGTAACATAAGATTTAACTGTACATTTCCATGAAAAACCAATGTGTTATTTATTAATCTATATAAGATGTAGTTCTCAAATCTTTAGAATTGTGAGAAAATATGAAAGAATCAGAAAAACATATAAACTTTAAAAATAGTTATGTTCCTGGTAATTCATCATATCAACTGAAAAAGCTCACAAAAGCGAAACATGTCTTTGACAACATGTGTTAGTTAATGAAACCGTTCTTAATCAAATAGTTAAGTTAAAATATATTTAACATTTACCAAAGGAAAATATCATTGTTTTCTGGGGAATAAAGTTATAAACATGTTAATAAGACAGTCTGTCGCAGTTTAATAACATACATCAATGAACAATCATTACATTTCAATGAAACTTCCCTGTATTGTAATCAACAAGAGTCTATATAGGCACCAATTGAAGCTGAACAAATGCTGATATAGGTAAATATGTTACATGAGGTGACAAGAGAGGAAAAACTGTTTCATAATGATTCATCATAATACAGAACTCCTGACTTATAGACTGTAAATACAAAATAATCGTTCACAATAGCAGCTATAAACAGTTTCATCCATGGGAAAAGGGTCCTGATAAATATATTTTGAGAAATTGATATATCTTTCGCAAATTAAACCGTATCAATAAACTAAGTTAGTAATTTTAAAAAATTGGTAGCCAAGCAAAACGTAAATCGTGCAGGGTCAGTTTAATCAAGTGTATTCATTAGTGAATGATTTAAGACGGCTACCTATTGTATAAGTATTTTATGGAAGCTCTGCTGTATTGCCTTTCTGATGACTGAATTTGAAAATAAAAAAAAAATATATATGAAATGCTCAAATGGGTATGCGTATGTCGTAATGATTAAAACAGTTAATTTGAATGCATTTCTGTTTAATAGCTATGGAGATATTTTTTTCGTACTAAAGTAAGCCTAAAAATCCAATCTAAATGTAACATTAAATGACCTAACGGACGATTTTAACCTTAACATCAATAAATACATTATAGCCATTCCGTCTAATTTCAGATCGACAGAGTTTTGATAGAATGCCTACAGCATTGAAAGGGCAGTGGTTACTTCAAAACTTGAGTTATAACTCAGCTATTGTTGTAACAGCTTCGTTCTGGTCGTACATAGGAGTCCTTGAAAACTCAGGTAGGTGTCGCATGATATATTGGAATAATCTATTCTATACAGTATTTCATGATACGTGTTGTCAGTAATGTTACAATACTTTTTTTTATATCTTAGACATGTTGTTAAATTGTTTTATTAGATTACCTATAAAAGAATATATATTATTACCTGCTAAGATTTTATATCACCGTAGGCTCGGGTGATATTTTATCTTGGCAGGTAATATATCCACATATATCACTCCAAAACCAAAATAATAATTTTATTACCCTTCTCCTGCCGAGTTTAGACGATTTTTTTAATTAAAATGAAACGTCGAAATCAATTCCCTTTAGGGTACCTCTTCATCACAACATGACGTCACATAAATACATGACGTATTTTTCCCGTACCTAACGAATGTAAACAAGAGAAAAGGAGTAGTCTATTGAACGCACTTTTTTGTAATTAATAAGGTCATATTTGTTTTCAATACTGATGGGAATATGTATCATTACTCTACTTTGGTAAATATTTATCATTTGACTGTTAAAAAGTGCTTGTAAATCGGAATTTACACCGCGTAAAATCGAACCGTACGCGCATCACCTCAGCGCATGTCGTTTACAACGTTGGGTACCCAACGGGGAAATTTAGTGTTTATATTACCCGTCTGGCTCGGTTATATCAATTTTTTTTTCGGGTGATCAATATCCAATCAAAAAGGCGGAAAAAATCTGGAAGGGTTTATTTAAACATGATTGTTCTTTTCTAGAGTATTAAATAGTTTGGAACGACGATTAGAAGACATATTTCCCATGTGCACTGTGCATGAACGATAAACGTTTATATTCGTGTATTATCATACAATCTTGCACTAACAAAATTTCAACCTTACTTCTGAGAATATACTTGAATTGAGTACAGAAGAAAATAAGTAAGTTGACAATCAATAAATGGAAGACGCACAAAATATCATGTACGTTAAATATAATTTAAATCGATTTAATTGATACCTTAAAAATATATCAAGAGTCTTTCAAAATTGTACGATACCAGATGTTCGTGTCTAAAATACAATGGTGTGAAAGAAAGTATAAAATCACATTTTACAAAGTCTATATTAAGACGTATATATTTAATATTTTATTAGACTCACTGCACAAGCTTTGACAAAAATACTAACGAAGAATATAAATACATTGTAATATATCAAATACAATATTTGCATTATGCGACAAATTTCATTGTTTAAGTGTTTTATGAAAAACATCTATATATAACATACTATCTTTCTTGAACTTTTGTTACCTAACTACTAGTGATATTTCTTAAAAGACCTTCCTTTTTGTTCTGCAATTCTCAGTGGAAAGGGTAACATGCGTTACCACTCATCTAACACTCTCAGGCTAAGAACTTTGTATGCAGTGAAGAGAATTACATTAAGTTTTATGCTTTAAGTGTATTAAGTTCATTTTTATTTTCTATTCATTCAATTTCATTACACTAACTTCATGGAATTGAGCCTTGATCAAATAAATTTGTTTAAACGAATCTAATAATCATTCAATAAACAACACATTAAGGACTTATAAAACGTTTGAATGTACCATACATTGTGTTTGATTTTATCCAAACTCACTGTATTTTATAAACAAATGAAATGTTATCCAAATCACGCTGTTGGCTCATTTCATTGTCTCTTACTTTCTTTCTTTAGTTTTAACCTATTATGTTTCTAGAATGAACTTGTCAAGCTTTTTGTATTTGGAACAGTACATTCAAAGTTAAAATGATTTCAATATCAAAATACAAAATTGAGCTACAAACAGCGGGATAAGTATGAACCATTTTAAACTCCTTATTTGAAAATGTATACGTTGTGTGCTAATTTGTTTTTCAGAAAAATTCCAAGATGATTATCTTAAAAGTATGCCTATTTCTTATAAACAGATAACACATTTTATCTGACAGTAAAAGCATGTCACACAATTGGTGGTGGAATCACGGCATTTTTATGTATATGTACTAATAAACAAAAGTTCACTGAAAAATTTTGTATTACATGTATATATGGAAATTATAAATTGAAGGGTTTCTTATCAAATTAGTTTGCAGCATTTTAAATAATGTCTAAATCGGTTAGAAATTGGTTACGATTCTGGAAAATTCTTTTTTATTTTTATAATGGAGGGTAGGGATATATAGATCTTCTTTTAGTTTTTCATTTAAAACACAAAGGATTAACATTCGAAGTAGCAAAATGTTTTGTAGTATATTTAAAAGTGTATATAGAAATGGAAACAGCAACTGGAAAAAAACTTTCAATTATGACCGGGAATCTAAACTTATATAAGCAATGGACCTAACCTATTTGGATGAGCACAGAAAACAAACTAAATGGAAAACTTTGTAATTGGGCGCAGGAACAAAAACTGCTTTATCAAGTGCTTGTTTATTGAAAACATTTAAAATGGCAAAACTTGGTAGTATGTTGGAATGAAATAAATATGAAATTTTACCATTTTGAAATTCGTTGGTGATTTGCTTCTTAATTGATATTCGTTGGTGATTTGCTTCGTAATTGATATGAAGTTGAAAATCTGAATAAAATGGAGTCGCATGGGTAAAACGAAAGGTTATTTTTATTTCAATTGTTATTATATTAGTTTATTAAAGATATTGAGCAAATTAAAAAACTTTATAATTTTCGGCAGTTTATTAAATCTAGTTGTGTGTATTTGTACGTTTTTTTCTGAATCTAATATTCTATGTTTAGCAGGTTCGAAGCAACAAATCCAGAATACTCTTTATATAATTTCAAAAAAATAAAGTAATTTCTTTTATAAAATTTCAGATATATTTTGGGCTACATATTAATATTGTCAAATTATCATTGTTTTTACAAATGAAAAAGATAAATAATTTCGTCATAATCAATGATAATGAAAATATTATTTCAGAGGGAACATTAATTGCTGTATAAAACACTTCGTATGCTAAATTATCATGCACGTCACTTAAGATAGGCCAAATATTTGTGTATTCACTATTAACTTGTATCTGTTTTGGTACTTGCTCCCGCATTCATATATATGCATTTAATCTGGTGACAGCAAAAAGTCCAACCAGCTAGGGGTATTTTTGTTGACATTGAACATTTTATTTATACATGGGCAATATACGAATTTGATTTTTATTGAAATTTAAATGAGAGAAGTTGAAAGTCTATATAATGATTTGCATATTCTGCTTTTTAAAGGTTTTTACATTTGTGTTACGTATTACTTGTATCCTATATTATGCTTCCTAATTTAGTTCTGTTATTTTATCATTATTTGAAAATTGTTTGCATATTAACTAGCAAAAAGTAGATAGCTAGTTTTATATTAGTCGGCTTTAATTATCATAAGTTATTACATTATGTCTTGTTCTTTCTTGCAGCTGTAATGCAGACACACATGAGCCAAATGAAACATACACTGAACACCGTCTACGTCATCGTCGATGTCCTCATTACTGCCACACCATTCCGGATATTGCATCTACTGTATACGGTTGTTCTCGGCTCCGTCTACTCTTTGTTCAACGCCATCTACTTCCTGAATGATGGTACAATAATGGAGGGCCGCCATTACGCATACAATCTTTTAGATTGGAGTAAGCCATCGGAATCTATCGTTACATGTGTTTTATGTGTAGTAATGTGTATATTCGCACAGATAGTCCTGTATGAAATATATAAAATCAGATTCAGTATTTTTACAAGAATATATTTTGGACCAGATGGTAAGCCGGATTCCGAGATGCAAAGAATAATGGGGGAAATGGAGGCACCAGCTTATCAAACAATTGATGACCGAGGAGAAAGTGAAAGCGGGCATCAGCATACTGAAAATGAACCACATTAACCACGACTGGGTAGATAAATAACTTCAGCATTTCTACCATGAAAATGTTCAGTTCAATGATTTACTAAAGGTCTGAATGTAAACTACAATAGTGAAGAGAAGATATTTCAAATTTGTCTCTGGTACATGTTTTGATTTGTGTAAAAATGTTAGCCATATTACACTATAGTAGCATTAGAGTTAAACTGCCATGTGTGTGTTAATGTCTTTGAAAAGTATAATGATCAAAGCTTCTATTACTAGTATAACTTTAATCTTTGAAATTAAGTTTTATTGAATGTAGCTAAGAAATTGAAATATGATTGGTATTTTTCGGAATATACATGTAATAACTACTGAAATTGTTACTCTTTTAAGCCATCTTTAACTAAACACTTTTAGTGGAATAATTTACAGATTTTCACGCATTTTTGTCGTTGTTATCGTAATGTATTAAATGTCTCTTTATAAAGTTAATTGGATAAATGTTATATAATCTTTAACAAAACACACTTTTATTAAATAGATAGTGTGATAGTGCTAAAGCAATATTTCAAAATCTCTTGAATTTTATAAACAATATTTATCACATCTTTGACTTAGTTATTTGTTCTTGAAATGTTATTATATTGAAATTGTTACTTAATACTAGTATAGTTTTTAGCTTTATTTGTATAAATGTATGTATGTTAACCAAAGAAAAATAATGTGTTACCTGTTTATTATATATATGTTTACTGAAATGTTTCAAATGTTTTGTTTATTTTGTTTACACTCCCGCAAAACCTAGAAAATGCTTGACCATTTTGCTGAGTACAAACAGACATTGTAACTGCTATACACGATCCAATCTTCAAATTAGACTGAGTTGAAAATGGAGTCATGCAATTGCTTATAGAGAAAAATTGTATAATTTTCAAAAAGGACTCCATTGAGGGTTGACTTTACGGGGCTTGATACAATTGTTTTAGACTAATATTCTATTTGATGTAGGTCTTGATCATTACCTTGTATGCAAAAATTCAGATCATTCCCTCACTCCGTTTGTCCAGAATAATTATTCTTATTATGACTCAAAATTGAAAAGCGTTGCTACGCTTTTCACTAAGAATAGCACATAAATACGCTTTCAATTAATTTCTTGATATACATGTATTCTTAATCCTCTCTTGCATACCTTTGTTGTTTAAAGTGATCTATATAAGACATTCAAGTTATATGGGTAAAGGCTTTTGACATCAGTGGAGTTCATTTAAGTAAAGTATTGGTATATATAATATTAATATATTGACTAAAAGATGGACTACGTTTAATTGAAATTTTATTATTATAAGAATTTTACAGATTGTCATTAATTGTCATGTAACAAACAAAAAAGTAACTATTCAACCTTTACTTTAAGGGGTTATTTGCATAGTTTTTTATTGTCTTTATCCTGCACATATAAACTGGCCTCATTTCATTTGTTGAGTCTTGAAATTATTGCAAATTTAAACTATATAAGAATATAGTAGATGTGGTGAGCTTCTATATTCTTCTGTATTTTATTCAAATATGAGAATGTTCTCATATCCGGCCTTTGAATTGTTTTTTTTCGCACGTGTCTCTCATAGATAACAAATTTGAAAATGTCATGTAAGTTTTCACTGCTGCACTACGGCATGACTTGCTTTTCCCATTTTTAAAATATCTACAGGTTATGACTTTTTCAAAACGTCCATTGATTACAACCATGGGGAAAACTTTGCATACTATTAACATGGGTTAAACAGTAACGCTTGCTTCGAAAATGAATAAACAATTGCCGAAGACTAGTAAAGCGTCGTTCTGTTGTCGTGCACAACTCACTTTAAATGTTTTAATGATGTCATCAAATCTATTTTTTTTAACAATCGTGTTTCCATTAACGTGGTTACGGGCAGAGATTTAACGGAATTGTACGCATTGATTTCTAAACTTGCTGATATTTTGAATTGCAGTCTGTTTTATAGATTGAAGAGACATTAACTTCGACATTTCCTTTTAAAATGAGATACTTGAAAGCATGAAATCTCGAGAAAGTCAAAAAAACCTTTCAATGATGAAACGTTTTAGTTTTCATTGAAACAAAATGTAAAGGGCATTTCTTTAATATAAAAATAAATAAATTCCAAGATGTTCTTATGTTATGTTTAAATAAAATGATACAATTACGAATGGGCATTATGGGTTCTGAAATATAACATATTCATGTTTCGTTTTGAAAGTGTTAACTTTAGATACAATTCGACCGACCAATACTTACATAAATCGATCGTGTGTGTGGGGGCGTGTTGAGGAACAAGTGGTTATTCATAAGTTTAATGTGTTCTAAGCTTAGAATATAGTTTTTTTTTTGTATAAAACATGAGGTATATGTATAACGACGACATGTTGATGATAAAAAAATGTATACATTGTTAATTTACGGATTTGAAAGACTCTTTTGCAGAAATGAGTAAAATATCTTGTTTTTCACTGAGACACATAATTCAATAATTGAACATATGGGTGACATTTCAATGCACAATTACCCCGAGATAAGGAATGAAAGGAATTTAGAAACACCGAGTATTCTGTTTATTTTATGTACTTCGGGGGACGGGGGACATAAAATGAACAATTTTGAAGTTAAATGTGACCATAGCACAATTCCAAATATTTCAAAATCTTTTACACAAACAATAAACCAGTTGCTCAGCATTATTTAGGGATATATTACATACATCGAAGAATATGACAACTTTGCGTCTATTGCTCTCTAGAATAAAGATGGACAGTTTACCAAACCTAATCCAAATTCACACCTGAAAAAATACCAATAAGCAGAACTGTACAGGATAGTCCAGAATTCGCCCAATTTGTTTTTAAAATCTGGAAATAAAATGATCCCGTGGAAGCATTAATCACAACGAAATTACATGCAGACTCGGGTTTGATTGAGTATGCACATGATGGATAATGATTAAGTGCAACATCCCTCACGCCCCCTAGCACCGGCTTGAGCGATACTCAATTCTCAACACTTAATAGTGTTGGCATCAATGATCCTGAAGGACCAGAAAAGTGTAGCAACACTGAAGGTAAAAGTTACTACAAACCGGTAGTAGAATCATAGGCGATGTCCAAAATGACATACGTTTTTTTTTCGCAAAATTTATTTCAAGCTTCTTACTTGTTTGGCTTTCAATCCCTCATTCGGAGGGTCACAAATGCATAATGTCTAGTTTCGTGTAAATATTCAAACATACTACTGATTTCCTACACACAAATAAGAAAGAATGTCAGAGACATATCAAACGTTTCCAATACCTTCAAAACACCATGGTTGTATTATTAATAGATTTCATCGTGGCCATAGCTGAAATATGTCACCCAGCTCAATGGACGACAAATGATTTACGTCACGTTGCTTTAAGCATTTATCATTGTTGTACTTTCACTACTGGAAATAAAGAAGAAGAAAAACGATAATGTTTCAATCATGGAATTTACTTGTGAGCATAGAAATTGGTAACACTCAAACATTTGAACGAATGCATAACATAATCGTTTTAAGAAATTATTGTCGGCCGGCAACATTTTCAATCTGAATTACCATTATATAACCATTTAGGAAAGAATTGATGCCTGTTTTTTTTTGTAAACAAAGATTTTCACGAAAATTTTACCATATCAAGTAAGTGGCTTCTATGTCAACATGTGAAACTAGGTTATGTTTTATGCTTTTATGTGTTGATGTGATAATGGCATCCTATGATAGAGGTACATTGAACGTGGGCGGTCTCAGTGTTATATTGTCTGCAACTTTTAGATGTCCCAAGCTAATTGTCTGGCTCCATTTACAAGCATACATTTAGATAATGTTATATTGTTTACATAACGTTTTACGGTCAATATACTTTACAGCTTGTGTTTTGTATGTCAGATTTAAATAAATGTTCCTTAGTATATCCCGTTTCTGTTATACCACCAAGTTATGAAATTAAAGTTGCATGTATAGTATAGTACATAGCATGGCAGAGAACTTTATATCCCGGTATAAGGAATTGTTATTTTTCGTAATTATGTTTATCTAAAATCATTCTGTATTGCTTTTCTTGTATGAGATTGATAATCGTGTTTGTTAGAATGTTACTTATTTTCAATAACAAGCTCAAGATAACATTTCTGTACGTTTATGAGTGATGACTTTTAACACAAACACGATTACGGTTGTTAAGTTTGAGCTTACCCCATGTTACTCAAAATTCGCGCACGAGTTTAGACTGTTGACGGGATTTATACTTCTGAGAAATACTTCACGGCATATTTTACCATCAAGAGTTCTCTAAATTGTAGAGTAATATATAAAAAAGAGAAAAACAGAATCCCTAAAGAAACGCACACTACCGTCATTTATGTCAATACAGTTCTAAAATGCAAGAAACAATATATTAAGTAATAGTTCTACTATATGAAACGTGTTAGCTACGAGGATGTTATACTGGCTCGGATGATGCCCAAAAATGGCAAGGCGAGATGTCGTCCATCCAGTGTTATAGCTCCGAAACTAACGAATTTCATATATTATAACTGTTTTATCGCAATTATATATATTTTTGCAACGAAGTGTTTAGAGCTTTTCCCTCTCTTGTGCCCTTTCCCTTTTGTAAACCCTAAAAATGAACCAATACCAGCTAATTAATCTATGCTTTTCGCTACTGGGATTGGGCGATACCCCCGCTCCATTCCAACCTCTGTAAAAATAGAAGAAGAAAACAAGGAGAGAAAAGCTACACTGATATATAACATTTGCAAAAACTCTAAGTACTGCTTTATAACAGTTTTTCCCGATATGAATCAATGATAAAACAGCACTATCAATACAGTTTTCAAATCCTCATTGAAAATTTACTGAATATAATTTGTTAGTAGGAAAGAAGGAAACCCCCTTAGCATACGAAAATAAGTGCTTTGACAACTAGAGAACAATATGTTTTAGTATAATAATTGTATAGCTGAATGCTATTAGGATAAATTTCTTATAATGCGACTTGGCTGGTATAATAGTTGATTAAATTAATGTCGATTAGAACAACGAATGTTCCCTGACTTGGCTCACAAAAGGCTAAAATCTGCCTTACTTTGAGAAAAAAAAGAAATCAACACTTTAAGTTAGGGACACTGACCATGTTCTCATTCACTTTAGCCAAATTTTTGTAACGTACACACTAATGCACCAAATATCAATCATAAAATGGATGTTCTATGAAAATTGGTAAGTGGATATTACAGGACGATATGACAAAAGGCAAACGGTTGAAGTTCAAGCGTAGCTGGGCATATAAAAGTACGCCTTAGGTGTACTAAACAAAAACGGGTAATCAAAGAAAAAAAATCAGTAACCTAACCCGAGTTAGGCATCGCCGAGAGTTTTGACTCGTTATGTAAAGAAAGGATGTAGGATATTGCCGACAATGAATTATTTTGTTATGAGGCGACTTAGTATTTGTATTGATCAAATGCGTCCACATGTTAAATTTGCGAGGAACTTTCAAAAGCCTCGAAATGTTGAAATATTCAACAGTGTCTATAAATTGGCATTTACGTCAAGGTAAGTTAATGTAGATCGAGATATTCAAAATAGGTAAAATATTTAGTTTGTCATTTAATCATAATTAAATGTTAATTTTTAGTAATTATATCGGATATTATTTTAGTTAACAAATAATTACAAGAAAAGCCTTGATGC